TTTTTTATTTTTTTATTTTATTTTATTTTTTGGTACTGGGGATCGAACTCAAGTCCTTGCACTTGCGAGGCAGGCAGCAGAACCACTGAGCTAAATCCCCGGCCCAAAAACAATTCTATTAAAAAAAGAAAGTCTTAGAAATCATACAACTCTGAATGAAAAAAACAAAGTGGCAAGAATGATGTGTTCAAAATGGAGAATATTAATAGGGGAATAATGGCAATGTAGCATTTACTCTAAGGCATTTTTAAAAATTGAAATATTAAACATTTTATTGTGTGTGCTGAGGTTTGTGGGTTGAGTATAGTAAAAAGACTTTGTTTCTAGTATGGCGATCTCTTTAGTTAGTGTGTATTTTTTAGTGACATAAGCTGGGCATAGCTAACTATAATCCTTTGTCTCTGTCCCAGGATCCAATCACCTTTGTTAATTTGGGAGGAAAGAGAGCAGTATAATTGGCCCAGCACCTAGTTCTCTAGAAATGAGCCATAGTAGTGTTGATGACACAAAGACCATCCAGATATTGGCACACAGAGAAAACCAGTTAATAGCAACAACTATGCTACTTTGAAGTAGCAACAAAATAAGCAACAGTTTAGTCAAAGACTTATTGAATATTGGCATACTATAAGAACAAAAGTTGAGATCCATAATTGTAATAATATAGACACACAGACAAACCAAATTGTTTTTGAAACAATTCCTTTTTTATTGGTATATGTATACAATACATGCTGTTAACAGTGTTTTTAGAATTGGTGTATTATATATGTATATACATCACATCTATCATTTTTGATCCCCTTTCTCCTCCTACTCCCCCCACCCCATTCCCCTGCACTCTTTCAGTCCCAAAACTCTGCTTGTATTTTACTCTTTTTTTTTTTATTCATTGTTGGTACATTTTAGGTATACAGTATGATGACATTCATTATTGGGAATTTATACCTTTACATGATATATCTTGGTTCTTAGTTTTTCCCCATTCCCTGGCCCTCCCTTCAACCCCTGTACCCCTCCCTATTTACAAAGACTTTGTTTCCAATTTTTCCTTTTGTCATTTTTTTTTTATTCTTAAATTCTTTTATTGGTACATTTTAGGTATACAATACAGTTACATTCATCACTGGAAACTTGTACCTTTTCTGTTTTTTTTTTTTTTTTTTTTTTTTGTGGTACTGGGGATTGAACTCAGGCCCTTGTGCTTGCGCAGCAGGCGGCGAAACCACTGAGCTAAATCCCCGGCCTGGCTAGGTATAGTCTTAATGTGATTGACTTGCCCTATGTGTTCATGGCTTTGGTCTTTTGTCTGTGTGTGTATGCATAGCACTTCGGATCTAACCCAAGGATTCACACATGCTAGGCAGGCACCCTACCACTGTTCTGCCTGTGGCCCAGTCATCGTTGTTAACCTCTATACACAGTAAACAAGCTGAGTTTAAAATACATGAGTTTCATTGATTTGGCATTGAAACAAGTTCTTGTTTGTACCGAAAGGTATAGAATTGAGAGCTGGGAATGATTCTCACATTAATGAAGACAAGTTTGCTGTTGGAGTAATGATTGCAATTCCATATTTTCTCGGGAAAAAAGCGTCAAGCTGTGAAATGATTGCCTACCACAGAGCAAGCAGTATAACTGAGGACAGGGGAAATTATTTCCTTGCAAGATTTCAAATCAGTAGGAGCCTGTTGTGAGTGATTCTCACACCACACAGTACTGTGGTTTAAAGCATTTCTTTCTTAGTGTCTATACAGTAGAGATGTTTTTATTAGAGAAGTTTTATATTGATGAAATATGCTTTTTATTTGTTTTTGCTTTTTAAGACAGAGTCTTACCCTGTAGTCCAGGCCAGATTTGAACTCATTGTATAGCCCAGGCATGTCTTGAATTCAGGGTGATCCTGCTGCCTCAGCCTCCAGAGTGTAGGGATTACAGGCGTGTGCCACCAACCCTGTTTGAAATATGTTGTTTAAAAAAGTCAGAGTTCTTGATGCTCTACCCACAAAAATTGTCCTTCCCTTGTCTCAGGTTGCCATCAGCCATGACTCAATTCTTTCCCTCACCCACCAGCTCCATTCAGCCCACAGGTCTAGAATTGGACACTTCTCATTCTTCCTCCACCATATAGTCTTACGTCACACTCTGGTCTCAGGTGCAGTGGACAGTCATCATTCTTGCTGGGCTCTGTGTTGAGTCTTGATGCTATCTGTGATTTGACTAAATGTGCAATTCTTTATTTCAAAAGCATTAATGTTTATCATTGAAAATACAGAAGTAAAACTCATTGTTGCTAGAAATTGTATCACTACAGATAGTCCCCACTGAGCTTTGGTTATACCCCATAGCATTTTCCAGAGACAACAGAGTACGCGTACATATACACAGTCATATGTGTACATGTTTTTCTGTACCATTTCTTTCACTTAACAGCTTTAAGTGATGAATGTCACCTGTGACACTACATTTTCTTTTGTAGCATGATTTTTGGAGTGTTATTGTTTTTTTGCTGTACTGAGGATTGAACACAGGGCCTTCCACATGCTAGGCCAGTGCTCTCCCACTGAGCTGTACACCTCCAGCCTCTTTGTTTTTTATTTTATTTGGAGACAGGTTCTTGCTAAGCTGCCCTGTTTGTCTTCAAACTTAAGATCTTCCTTGCCTCAGCCTTCTTAGTAACTGGAATTACAGATGTGTGCCACCATGAATGGCTCTTGTTTTTGAAGGACAATATGGAGTATCCTTTGTGGGCCTGAAGAAAGGCCCAAAAGATGCTCTTCACATCTGCCTTTCATTGTGCCATTTTGCTTCTTTCTTCCTTTTCTTGATAATACATCGTATATTTTACCTATTTAGTGTTCAGTGGTTTTTAATATAGTCAGAGTTGTGTAACAATTCTCATAATCAATTTTGGAACATTTTCAGTACCCTAAAAAAGGAACCCTGTATTTATTAGCAGTTACACCCCATTGCACCCTAAGGGCTCTAGCTCTAAACGACACAACTTTATTTTTATGGATTTACCACTTTTGGACATTTCATATAAACAGAATCATTACAACATGTATTTTTTTGTGGCTAGTTTCTTTTACTTTGCACAGTTTTTAAAGGTTTACCACGTTGTATCATGAATCAGTACTTAATTCCTTTTTATGGGTGCATGATATTGTAATGCATAATGGTATACCACTTGCTTTTACAATATTAGGGATTGAACCTGTGACTTTTGCACTGAGCTATGTCCCCCCAGCTCTGTTAAAAAAAATCAATCATTTATTTTTTATTCATTATTTCTGGTTTTTTGAGACAGTCTTGCTGTATATTCACTGGTCTTGAACACTTTGTAGCCCAGGCTGGCCTCAGACTTGTGATGATCCCCTTGCCTCAGCCTCCCAAGTGCTGGGATTATAGGTCTGAGCCACTATACCTGGCTTCCATTTGTAAATTTTGAGAGAAGCTCTTGCTAAGTTGCTAAGCTGCTCAGGCTGGGCTGGAACTTTCTGTCTTCCAGGCTTAGCCTCCTAGAGTGCTAACATTATAGGTGTGCACAATCATATCTGTCTTTTATCCTTTCCTTTTTCTTTCTGCTGTGTTGGGTCAACCCAGGGCCTCTGGCTTGTTAGATAAGTGCTCTACCACTGAGCCATACCCCCAGCCTCACCACATTTTGTTTACCCATTGACTAGTTAGTAGACATTTGGGTTGTTTCTACTTTTGGTTCTCATTAATATGCTACTGTAAACATTTGTGTGCATGTTTTTTGTGTGGGTATTTTTAAATTTCTCTTTGGTATGAACTTTGAAGTGGATTTTTCTAGGTGAAACAACTATGTTTAGGTTTGTTTGATCTTTGACAGTACTAGGGATTGAACTGTGTTTAAACTGTCAGGCACTGCCAGGCTATCTTTCAAAGCTGTTATACTAATTTATAAATACTTCATAAATGAAAGAATGGTCACATTGAAAATGCTTTGTATTCATTCAACAAATATTCATTGAGAGTCTATGCGTGAAGTTACATCTGTGGACAGAACGACTGTGGCACAAAACTCTGCCAGTGTGGGCCTTATATTCTAGTAGAAGAAACAGAAAATAGAAAACATTGTAAATCAGTACATTATATAGTGTGTTGGAAAATATGTGTTGAGGAAGAATTAGAACAGAGGGTAAAGGGAGTTGGCATTAGGACATTTCACACAGGGTGGTAAGGGTGGCCTCACTGCCAGGGTAACAGCTGAACAGATTTGAAGGAATTCACTGTGTGGGTGGCTGGGGAGGAGACGGCAGGGCGAGACTAGCTTGTGCAAAGGCCCTGGAGCAGGAGAGTGACTGGTGTACTTGGGTGAGCAGCAGGGGAATGGGAGTAGCGACTTGATTTAAGCTCCCTCTGGCACCTGCGTGGATAAGAGACTAGGGGCAGTGTTGGAGGCAGGAAGTCTGTGAGGCAAACCTGAGAGTTCTTGGCTCCAGTTTCAGCATCCTGTCTGTGACCAGCCTTGTGTGGCTGGTCTTTATTTCAGAACTCTACAGGAGCAATGGCTTGGACCCTCATGAGGGCCACATAGTTCCTTGCCTTTCCTTCCAACAGTGCTAAGCATCTACTGCATTCCAGGCACTGTCCTCGAGGGGGCGCTGCGGTGAACAGATGCTGTTGGAGCCTGTACTCCAGGGAGGCCTCTGCCCCTGCAGTCAGTAGAGAAAAGTGTGTCCAGAGGTCTGGGCCCCCCAGGTGTAGGGATGGAAGTGAGGGACACAGGTAGGTGTGGAGGTAACATTGGCATAAAGACCTGAATAAAGAAAGGCTCAATCCTGCAGAGGGAAGGGGCTGCGTGAGGGAAACTCAGTCTCCTGGAAAGCACAGGATAGCTGTGTCCTCCCTGGTGGATGTGAGGACAGAGCTGTCTGCTGCAGATGTGCCTGACCGAAGGGTGAAGCAGGGTATGGAGCAGCGTCTTCTGGCTGGCCAGCACCCTGGTCCATCGTGTCCTCCCTTCTTCGCAGGTGTGGCCCACAGGGCTTTTGAGAATGATGTGGATGCCCTGTGTAACCTCCGGGAGTTCTTCAACTACCTACCCCTCAGCTGTCAGGACCTGGCTCCTGTCCGCGAGTGCCATGATCCCAGGTGGGCTGCAGGGCAGTGCCCTTTTCCCCATGTGACAGGGTGACTCGTCCTTGCCTGGCCCCTCTGCCCTAACACAACTTGGGGACCTGCCCTGGGGGGGACGGTGGGGCATGCTGTGGGGTGCGGGAGCGTGACTCCCTGGTACAGGCGTGATGTGGCTACATCTGAGGGTAGCTTTGGTGCAGGTGGTAGGGAACCCAAAATCTGCTTTCTAAGAGGCACGCTGGAGTTTCCCAAACTTGGAGTGGAAGGTTTTTTTTTAAACTTTGTGTTCTTTATTAGTACATGTTTTTCATACATATTGATCACATTCATCATAGGAAATTTGTACATGTAATAATATATCTTGAGTCTTCGTTTTTTTCTCCATTCCCCTCCCCTCCCTTCAGCTTTTCTTTCCCTCCCCATTACAAGAGCTTTGTTTCCATTTTTTTCCTTCTATTCTTTTTTTCCCCTTTTCCCTTCTTTCTATTGTTTCCCTTCCTTCTCCTGCCCCCCTTGATCCCCTTTTGTTATCACTTGTGTCTAGATGTCCCCTCAAAGCCTCATGCACTCATAGGTGGGTCTTTGCAGAGGTGGTTGAATCTACAGTATATGATGCTGGGATCAAGGGTGTGTGATTACTAAATTAGTCCACTGATTGGTTGGGCTTAGTTCTGGGTGTGGATAATGGGAAGGCCTACCCTGGGTATGAGTGCTGCCTGCCCTAGGGATGGTAACCTGGATAGACTATAAGGGACAGAAAGAGGGCTGTTGCTGTTACTTGTTGCCTGTTGCTTGCTGCTTGCTACTTCAGTGCTGGCTGCCTCTGCCTGCTTTGCCATGAACTGTTTCTCCTCTGCGATGCCCCTCTGCCATGCCACCCTGCCTTGGAGCCAGCCGATTATGGACTGTGAACTAATAAATCTTTCCTCCTCTAACTTTGGGTGTTGGATATTTTGTCTCAGCTATAAGAAAAAAATAAGACATCTTCCCATTTGAACATGCTCTTCCTACTTCCCAATATCTATCCTCCATTGTGCTCTTTGTTTACCCTTTGAGTTTCTCACACAAGAGAAACACTGCAATATTTAAACTCGTGTATCCTACTTATTTCACTTAAAATTATGGTGTTGAGGTGTATCCATTTTCCTACAAATGACTCGTTTATCCTTCTTCATGGCAAAGTAGTACTTCATTTTATATAAATACCACATTTTCTTTATCCATTCATCTGTTGATGGGCATATGGGCTGTTTCCAGTCTTTAGCTATTATAAATTGTGCTGCTATAAACATGGGTGTGCATGTATCACTGTGGAATGATGCTTTTAACTCTTTTGGGAAGATACATAGGAAAGGAACACCTGGGTCAAGTGGAACCTCTAGTTTTAGTTTTTTGAGGAATCTCCCTACTGATTTCTGTAGTGGTTGTACCAGTTTACACTCCCACCAGCAATGAAGAGCTCTTTTTTCACCACAGTCTCGCTATCATTGGTTATTGGTTGATTTCTTGATGATAGCCATTCTTTCTGGAAGGAGAAGGAATCTCAGTGTTGTTTTAATTTGTATTTCTCGAATGACCAGTGATGTTGAGCATTTTTCACATATTTATTTGCTGTTTTTTAAAGTGGAAGGTTTTAGTTTTTGTTTTGTCTTGAAGTGAATTAAATACATGTGAGTGAATGTAGACAGTATGTACTTTGCATGCTGCTCTCAGCCAAGGCTGGACCAGCCTGTGAAGGTTGTGCTGCTGTTGGCTTCCTAGTGAGGACCTGCTCTCCCTCTTGCTTTGGGGGCCACTGCTGGATGTGTGCAGTGGGTCCCATAGAGTAAGGCGGAGGTCCAGCTGGGGAACCGCTGCCCCATACCTGTCTGGTCCCTTCTGCTTCTCTGAATGAGAACTACTATATTGGGCCTGGACTGCCTTGTGCAGAGAGGATTTGGAATTACACCCCTTGGGAAGAGGCCATTTTCAGACACTGCCTCATGGGTTGGACCTGAGCTCACCTATGGGGAGCAGAGCACCTACTGGGCCAGAGCATCTCTGAAGTCATTCTCAGGGCTCACTCCATGGGGAACGAACCAGTGGCCCAGGAACAATAGGCATATTGTTTGTAGCACTTGAAGGGTTAGGGCATCATCCAAAGATGTCATAGCCCAGGGTCCCAGAAGTGTCCAAGTAGCCTGCCTGGCCGGGGGAGACTGTTTGTATAAATGATACGGGAAGAGTAACAGAGAACCTCATGATCAGTTGGGACCATGCTAGTATGGAGTAGAGCTCTCTGGGATGTTTGGCTAGATGGGGCTGTGGCCTGATCAAAGGCAGACCTGAACCCTGAACTCTGAACCCTGAACCCAGTGGAGCTGCTGGCTGCTCACATGGGTCAACAGGGCTGAGAGCCTGTTGGAGAGAGGAGGCTGAGTGGATGTCAACTGCTGAGTTATTCTGCGGGGTGCAGTGGATTCTGGCTTAGCTCTCTGCCAAGCACCTAGATGCAGGAGGAAGTGTTGTCAGGTAATTCCTTTACAGATGGCTCACCAATCAAAAGTATTCCAGGTCCTTCTTGCCTTGAACAAAGAATTGGACAAGATAAGCCAAAAACAGTGCCAAAAGTTTATCTGAAAAGTGCAGGGTGAATGGGAATGGGAGAAACCAGTTCTACAGAGCAAACTTGGGCAGAACAAGAGAAAAAGAAGGTAAAAGCAAAAATAAAAGTACACACTGCATCTGAGAAATGCAGCATGGGCTATCGTGGGAAGTCATGGTAGCGAGTGTCCCTTGGTGTCCAGTTTTATGCTGTTCACATCTCATGGGAGCTTGCAAGAAGTTCTACATAAGGGGTCCTGGATTGGCCTGATATCTTGTAATTGACAGGTCCCACTCATTTTCCAGCCAGATTTGCTACGCTCTGTCTTCTATATCAGAAGTAGAGTCACAAGGGTGTGTTTGACAGTTTAGCCCAAAATGATTCTGCCCAGAGGTCCTGTACCCTGCAGCCCCCTACACCCTTGCTGTGGTGGATTAACTAGTGGTCACCTTGGAACACCCAGCTGAACTTAGCATGGTACTGGGCATGGAAGACTCAACTGAGAATTGTTGCCAGTGGCATAAAAGAACTGAAAAGGAAGATTGTATGCTGTTGATTTTCCTAGAGAAGCTCCCTGAAGCTGGTTTTCCTGATACAAACTCAGCTGTTCTCATCATTGCTGGGAATGGCTGCTGTTCTCTTCAGTGGAGCTCTGGTCTTTGTTTTGAGCATTACTTCATGGCTCCAGTGCAGATCCCTCAGCCTGGTGGCACGGACTTTCACCCTGCTGTGGCAGACTTTCTAGCTTTCACCACTGGCCTTTGGGCCTTCCTGGTGCAGATCCTTGATATGGACTTGCAGGGACATTGCCGTGGGCTCTGGCTGGACTCATGGGGAACACTGCCATGGGCTTTAGGCCTTCGGGCTGGATTTGTGTGGGACATTGCGTTCGGATCCAGGCCCTTGTCTGGATTCTTCAGGTCTCTAGCGCATGGACAGATCTCTTGCACTCCTCTGCATTTGATTTTTGGGGTGAATATTATAAAATAATTCTATAACTTAGGCATCCCGTATTAAATCTGTCCCCTTGCAAACCCTGACTACAACACCTCCTGTACACCACTGAGCTATATATATTCCTAGCCTATTGTATTTTATTTTGAGACAGGATTTCACTGAGTTGCCCAAGCTGACCTCAATCTTGCCATCATTCTGAGTAGCTGGAATTATAGCATATGCCACCATGCTCAGATCTGCTGTTTTGCTTTTTAAAGGAGCTTTACCAGATTACCCTTCCAACAGGGGACTTGGACCCACAGTGGTTTCTGCAAAACTCTGCTTTTAAGTCTTTGCTCTTTTGTTTTCAATGTTACAGGAAGTCAGACTGGGATCTTCCAGGGTGTCTTGTTCACTGTAAGCCCTTCAGTGCCTCGTGCAGTGTCCAGGATATAGGACATATTCAGAGGGTAGATGAAAAGCACATTTAAGGGAATAAGCTCCTTTTTTTTAACTAAAAAAAAACTGGGCTGGGCATAGTGCACATGTGTAATCTTAGCACTTTGAGAGGCTGAGGCAGGAGGATTAGAAGTTCAAGACCAGGGCTGGGGATTTAGCTCAGTGGTTCTGGCGCCTGCCTCACAAGCACAAGGACCCGAGTTTGATCCTCAGTACCAAAAAAAAAAAAAAAAAGAAGTTCAAGCCCAGCCTGGGTATTTTAGTGAGAATCTGTCTCAGAATGAAAAATAAAAAGGGCTGTGGAGTAGCTCAGTGGTAAGGTACCCTTTGGTTGGATCCCCAGAATCTCAACAGTAACCACTGCTACCACCAAGAAACCCCTCAAAAACCAGATGATATTCTGGGTTGGCATTAGACTCAGTTCCTTTTAATGTACATCTTTGCCAGTCCAGCCCAGTCCCCAAGTTATGTCTCTTTCTTTACTTTCCCACTTCCACTGAAGATGACAGGCTTTTCCTATGTTAATGATGCCTGCTTTTTTTCTAGTGACCGTCTGGTTCCTGAGCTTGACACAATTGTCCCTCTGGAATCTACCAAAGCCTACAACATGCTGGATATCATACACTCGGTAAGAACTGTGCTTGCCTGTCCTTGCTCAGCTGCATCGACATGTGTTTTGGCCTAGTGAGGAAGTGTTGGCCCTGGCCTGAGTGTCAGCACATGTGGGCACGGAGTGGGCGTGGGACTAGGGGCCCCTGGATAGCATATACTGGGAAGAGCTAGTAGCTAAGGATGTCCTGATGGCCCAGAGAGGCAGGTGGGCTGTTGGGCTAGCAGATCCTAGGGCTTTTTTTGGATTTTTGAGGCAGGGTTTCCCTTTGTAGTTCAGGCTGGCCCTGAACTCGCTATATATCCCAGGCTGGCTTTGAATGCTTGGCGATCCTCCTGCCTCAGCCTCCCGAGTGTTGGGATTATAGGCATGTGCCACCACTCCTTGCTCTAGGGGTCTTTAGAATGCTCTCTGGGACACAGATTAAGGACCATGTCCTGAATCTGGAGTGAAGTGGGGACAGTCCCTGTTAGGTGCTGTTATCTGTGCATCTAGATGTAGCCCCCAGCCTCAGGTGCTCATAGATGGGGCTTTTTGGAGGTGGCTGAGTCTAGGGTATATGAATATGGATTACAGGTGTGTGACAACTGAATTAGTCCAATGATGGGCTGGGGATTTAGCTCAGTGATTCCGCTGCCTGCCTCACAAGTGCAAGATCCTGAGCTCGATCCCTGGTACAAAAAAAAAAAAAGTTACTTGAAACCTGAATTAGTCCAATGACTGGTTTACCATAGTTCCAGGTGTGGATGATAGGAAGGCCCACCCTGAATGTGGGTGGCACCAACCATAGACTTCTAGCCTGGATGGGATAAAAGTTCAGAAGGCTCACTGCTTGCTGCCTCCTGCCTGCATTCCATGGACTGTTTCTTCTCTATTGGGCCCCTCTGCTATGCCACCCTGCCTTGGAGCCAGCCGACTATGGACTGAAACCACAAAAAACTGTGAGCTAAAATAAACCCTTCATCCTTTAATTTTGGGTGTTGGGTATTTTGGCTCAGCAGTGAGGAAGTAACCAAGACAGATACCTTTGTTGGGGGACTCCTGATTTGGGTACTTTTTCTTTCTAGGATAATGAGAGTACACAGCATGTCCTGTGATAAGGTCAGGACACATGTGGGAGTGTGTGTTGAACAGGAGCCACATGTACCTTGGTGTAGCTCATTCTTGGATTCTTAAGGGGGTGGTGCTGGGCAAATAGAGGCCTCTGTAGGTGCCTAATGTCTTCCTTACATGCACATTGCCCTCGGCAATTTTTGTTCTATGGGACCTGCTTAATAGGTCTGTGTCTCTGTCCCTGAACCTGGCTCTCTTTGTGACTTCTTCTTTCTCTTCCCTACTTTGGGGAGCTTGTGGGTATTAGTTTTTGGTTCTCAGATTCTGCCCCTTCCCACTGTTACATTCCATGGCATTGGGCATCTGTAGAGCTGTGAAGACTTTATGACCCAGGTCAGTTTTCCTCTTTGTCTCCAGAGCTTAGATGTGTAGAGGATAAGGATAGAGTGGGTGTGTTAGTCTGTTTTCTGTTGCTGTGACAAAGTACCTGAGATAATCTATGAGGAAGAAAAATTATGGCTCACAATTTCAGAGGTTTCAGTCCATGGTCCCATGGCCGTTTGCTTTAGGCTTCTGACAAGGCAGAGCTTCACGGTGTGTGTGTATCATGTGGTAGAACAGAGCTGCTTGCCTCATGGCATCCTCATCTCATGGATCAGAAAGGAGTTGAGGTCCCTGTATCCCACTCCAGGGCACCTAACTTCCTTCACTAGGCCCTACCACCTAAAGGTTCTGCCACCTCCCTATAATGCCACAGACTGGAGATCAAGCCTTTAGCATGTGCACCTTCGAGGGACACTTAAGATCTTAATCGAAACAGTGGCTTTCAAAATCTGGCTGTCCTGGGTCCACATTCTGCCTCTAGCAGGCAGTAATTGGTTCATGCAGGGAGCATAGGAGGCTTCCTTACCTGGACTCCTGTTGGATTGTTTTGAGTCAACTGAGCTGAGGTGTATGGGCCCTGGCATGGCATCAGGTTCTCAGGAAGCACTTTGTGACTGACATGTAGCAATGCCCACTTTCTAGTTTACTTTGAGGATAAGAGTGGCAAGCAATGTATAAATGTTTAGTTAAACAAATGCAGGGCCGGGGATTTAGCTCGGTGGTTCTGCCACCTGCCTCGCTAGCGCAAGGTCCCAAGTTCGATCCCTGGTACCAAGAATAAAAAGAAACAAATGCAACTCAGAAGTGGAGGGAGGAAAGAGCATAAGAGAATCAGCTCATTGATTGTTGTCAATCAACAAATATCCTTAAAAAGAGACAAATCAGTTAAGAAAGATTAAAATAAGGAAACAGACTAAAGGCATAATTATAAAGTAACCACTAGATCAAAATACAGACCTTCCTAAATAGTAATTTAAAACATCACTGGGAGGGCCCGGGATTTAGCTCAGTGGTTTTGCCTCCTGCTGTGCAAGCGCAAGGACCCCAGTTTGATCACGGTAACAAAAACAAAAACAAAAACAAAACATCACTGGGAAGAAGATTGGAATTAGAAAAATCCCTGTTTGGCAGCAATCATGGCAATAATTGAGTCAGATAAGAATCAGCAGTGGACTAGGGTTTTTTTTTTTTTTTTTGTCTTTTGGTGGTACCGGGGATTGAACCTAGAGCCTTCTCACTGAACTACATTTCTAGCCCTTTTTATTTTTTATTTATTTTGAAATAGGATCTTTTAAAATTATTCAGACTGGGTTCCAATTTATGATTCTCCTATATCAGCCTCCCAGAGTGCTGGGATTATAGGTATACACTACCATGGCCAGCTAGGACAGGATTTGTTTCTTTCTTTTTTTTTTTTTGCTGTACCAGGAATCAAACTCAGGACCTTGTGCTTATGAGGCAGTTGCGGTGCCACTGAACTAAATCCAGGCCCTAGGACGGGGTTTTTGATGGAAGTTTGATAAAGAACAGGATTTTTACATAGTCTGTCTTTCCCCACAAATTACTTATTTTTTTTTTTTGGTACTGGGGATCGAACTCGGATCCTTGCACCTGTGAGGCAGGCGCTGGAACCACTGAGCTAAATCCCCGGCCCTGCAAATTACTTTTAATTACATTGGAAAAATAGTAACTTTACAGAGGAGAATCCTAGCAGATATGACCACCATTAGTAGACAAATTGACATTTACCACTTGATGAGATTCACTGAGAATGTCGCTTCTGTGACGTTCCAGCCAGCAAGCACTTAATCTGAGATTACACATGAATAAACAACAGACAAAGCCAGATAGGAGGCACATTCTACACAGTCTACAGATTCTATAAAGTAACTTTTGTCTTTGAAGATGTCATGACGATATGAAACACAAAGCCTGAAAGAGAAAACATTCAAGGAGCCCAGAGAGACATGACCACTAACAGCACCAGGTGGTCCCAGGTCAGATTCTGGACAGGACTTTTGTTGCTTCTGTTACTATCAAGGATATTATTGGAACAACTGGCAAAAATTAAGTAAGGTTGTATAACAGAAAATAGTACCGTGTTAAAGTGCCTGATTTTGATATCACTCCAGTTACATAAGAGAATGTTCTTGTTAGGAGATTGGCAGTGAGGGCCTGAGGGATGAAGAGGCAATCATAGCTATAACTTACTCTTTTTTTTTTCTTTCCTTAAATTCTTTTATTGGTACATTTTAGGTATACAGTACATTTACCTTTATCATTGGCAACTTGTACCTTTACATGATGTATCTTGGTTCTTAGTTTTTCCCCATTCCCCTGCCCTCCCTTCGACTCCTCCACCCTTCCCTATTTTCAAAGACTTTGTTTCCATTTTTTCCTTTTCTGAGAGTTTTTCCTTTCCCCTACCCCTCCCACTTCCCCTGCCCCTTTGGACATTTTCTTCCTATTTTACATTATCAATTATTCATTTTCATTCTTATTTACACTTTCAGTTTCTCACACTAGAGAAACTATGAGGTATTTACACATGTGTGTCCTATTTATTTCACTTAAGAGTATGGCCTCAATATGCATCCATTTAGCTATAAATGTCTCTAGTTTCTCATTCTTTATGGCTGAGTAGTACTCCATTTTATATTAAAAAAACACATCTTCTTTATCCAGTTTCCAATTGATGGGCACTTGGGCTGTTTCCAAGTTTTAACTTTTACAAACTGTGCTGCTATGAACATGGGTGCACATATATCGCTGAGGTATGATTCTTTTAATTCTTTTGGGAAGATACCCAGCAGGGGAATAGCTGGGTCAAATGGGACTTCCAGTCCTAGTTCTTTGAGGTATCTCCATATGTAACTTACTCTTAAATAGATCAGGAAAAAAATATGTGCATGGGTGTGTATATATATGAGAAAGTCAGAAGTGAGTATGGAGGGAGAATAACAGTAAAATGTTCATAAATGAGGCATCTGAGTGAAGCATACATGAATAGTTTTTGTATTGGTCTTGAAACTTTCATAAAAACTGGAAATGATTTCAAAATAAAAGGTAAAACAAATAGCCGTAAATCATTCCAAATTTAAATTTAAAAACCTTTAATTCAAGCTGCACTACTACACACTTGGCACTTGTAGAAGTAGTAGTCTCTCAATTAAAAATATTATGGACTACCCAGTCAGGGATTTAGCTCAATGGTTCTGCCGCCTGCCTCGCAAGCGCCAGGACCTGAGTTCGATCCCCAGTACCAAAAAAAAAAACCAAGAAAAATATTATCGACTACCAAAAAACAAAAAGCATAGTGCATTGTACGCAAGCGTGTCGTGTCCCCCCCCCCCCCCGCAGCAGGGAGGAGCTGCCACCTGCCCTGGAGAAGCCATGTTGCAAGCTGCCCAGCTCTGTCCTTTTGTATTGAACTTCTGTCTTGTATTTGTATTTATCAATTTGAGCTCAGGAATAAATTTATTCCTACAGGTTGTTGATGAGCGAGAATTTTTTGAGATCATGCCCAATTATGCCAAGAATATCGTTGTTGGTTTTGCAAGAATGAATGGGAGGACTGTTGGAATTGTTGGTAACCAACCCAAGGTGGCCTCAGGTAGGATGGAGAAAGTTCCCTAAACCTTGGGCGGGGGTTGGACATTGGGGCTGCCTGGACCCATGTGACTGTCTGCCTTCACCCTTCCCGCAGACATGGCCTTCTATGACCAGAGGAAATAAATATATGTTGTAAAAGTGACTTTCTCTTTTAATATTAAACAGCTCAAGATGCACCTTTCATCCACCCCTTTCCTCCCCTTAAAGGTCTGTAGATAATGTTCCTCCTTAGTGTACAAGGTGTTCACTTTCTGAGAGGCCAGTTTTCTGCGCCCCTGGCTGAATGTATGGCTCACCCACCCACCCACTGGTGAGCTCCAGGAAGGCAGATGTTAATGCTCCCCTCACAGCTGTCTCTCTAGGGCCTTTAGCAGTGCCCCGTGGGTGCATGGTTAGTACACAAAATACTGTACCGGTACTGGAGCTCTTTTTATTTTTCCATACAACTTTGTGATACTGATTAGTGGCCTTTCCTGTCAACCTGAATGCCCTTCTTCAAGAGCACGGGTAGGGCATTTGTTGCAGAGCACAACTGGTAATGAACTCCTTTGCTTTTGTGTATCTGGGAATGTCTTAATTTTAATTGTTTCTTCATTTTTGAAGGACAGTTTGCTAGATACAGACTTTATGGTTGATTGTTTTATTCTTTTAGGATTTAAAATATATCATCCTTGGGCCGGGGATTTAGCTCAGTAGTTTCACTGCCTGCTGCCCAAGCTCAAAGACCTGAGTTTGATCCCCGGTACCGGAAAAAAAAAAAAAAAAAAAAAAATCATCCTCTATCTTTGGCCTCCAGGGTTTCTGTGGTTACCAGTTGCTAATTTTAGTGAGGATCCTTTGTAAATGATGAGTCACTTTTCTCTTGCTGTTTTAGGATTCTCTTTGTCTTTTGACAGTTTGATTATAATGCATCTCAGTATGAGTCTCTGAATTTATTCTTCTTGAAGTTGGTAGAATTTCTTTTGGTGGGGGGTTGAACTCAGGACATTGCGTTTGCAAGGTAGGTGCAGTGCCACTGAGCTAAATCCTCAGCCCTAGAATTTCTTGTCTTGCATCAAATTTGGGATGTTTTCAGACATTATTTTTTCAAATTATTCTTTGCCTCATTCTTCCCTTCTTCTCCCCACTTGTCTTCCCATTCTGTGTAAGTTTGTTCACTTGATGGTGATTGTAAGTCCTTTAGACTCTGTTCACTTAATTTCTTGCTGCTCCTAATTTCACTTGTTTTATCTTCCTGCCCCTTGACCTCTCTTCTGCTTGCTCACATCTCTTGTTGAACCCGTGTAATGAATTTTTCATTTCAAAATTTGTTAGATTCTTTTTTTTTTTTGATAACGGGGATCGAACTTGGGACCTTGCACTTGCAAGGCAGGTGGCGACACCACTGAGCTAAATCCCTGGCTGTTAGATTCTTTTTATAATTAATTTTATATTTTCTGTCTCTTCATTGGTATTCTCATTTTGTTCGTACATTATTTTCATAACTTCCTTCAGTTGTACATACTTTACTTATTTGAAAATATTTAGGACTGTTTTAAAGTCTTTGTCTAGTACAGTCAATATCTTTGCTTCTTCAAGAACAATTTTTATTTATTTATTTTGTTCATTTGAATAGCCATACTTTCCTATTTCATTTACGCTTTGTGGCTTTTTTGTTGTTGTTGTTGTTGTTGTTGTTGTTGTTGTTTTGGTTACCAGGGGTCGAATTCAGGACCTTGTGTTTGTGAGGTAGGTGGAGGAACCACTGAGCTAAATCGTTAGCCCAGCTTTGTTGTTGTTTTTTTTTTTGGTACCAGGGATTGAACTTGGGACCTTGCGCTTGTGGTGGCGGAACCACTGAACCAAATCCCTGTCCCAGCTTTGTTGTTGTTGACTTGCTATACTGGGCTAAGTCTGGCAATCAGATTTTCCCCTTTCCCAGAGTTGTTTGTTTATCAAATTGTTGAATGTTATAGTGGTCCATTTGTTTAGCATCATTTCACAACTTTTTCCCCAGAGACTGTCTTCTTTATCATGTGTGATTGAAGTCTGTATGTCTTAGTTTGTATTAACTCGGTGTTTTAACAGAAGCTTCCTTGAACACTAGGAGCTGGAATAAAGAAATAAAACAAAAACAAAAACAAAAAAAACAGATCTTGTCTTAAAAATTGGCTTTGTGTTGGAGTGCTCCTTTAATTCTTAGCCAGACTTGAACTGAGCTTTGGGATCAGCCTTAGGTTAAGGCTTAAGGTCTTCTTTTGTCATTTGTTTTGTAATATTATATTTTTATTTACTTCCATCTCAAGGTATTTTCTATTTCCCCCTCCTCAGATCTTTTCTGGTTGTGTATCTGAGCCTAGGCATATGGCTGTCTAAATTCCCCTGTACACACAGATCCTTTGCAAGTACTAAGTTCCTAAAGAAACTTTCTTCTTGGCTTTTTCTCCCAGGCTTTAGGTGGTCTCAACCACAATCCTTGCCCCAAACATCTTCAGGTCATTCTCTGCCTGACGGTGTTTTTGAGCAGTGCTCACTACTTTTCCAGCCTGAGTTCCAAATTTGACAAAACAAGTACCTCATGTCAGTCCTCACAGGCTAGAGCAGACCTACATAGTAATTTGTGAATATGTTTTGCTCTGGATACTTCAGAAGGAGTGAGAGTAGTAAGTTAATTAAAAAACCCACCAAAAATTTCCCCCACATATTTAAAATTGCCTTTTTCTTTATCCAGCATTGACTTGATTATTGTAAACCATTGCTTATTTTCCAGGCCTCTGTCAAAGATTGTTCTTACAGTTTTCCCACATTTCTATTGTGGGGTGGGAACTTTAATCTTCCTATTCTTACATTTTATTGTTTAGAAAAAGCATCTAAAGTGAGGGATTTAGAACATTAAAAATGCATTTTGTTATAAACACCGTAAAATGCACAGCTCTTAAGGTTCGTTTTGATAGGTTTTGACATTTGACAGTTGTGTTACACCTTTGCAGCTACCATCTAAAACCAGCTATAGACATTTTTATTCTAGAGTACATTCTCAGCTGCTGGGAGTGGTGGCATTTGCCTTTATTCCTAGCACTCAAGAGACTCAGGCAGGAAGATTGCCAGTTCAAGCCCAGCCTGGGCAACCTAGTGACTTAGTGAGACCCTGTCTCAAAATAAAAAGGGGCTGGGGACATAGCTTTGTGCAAAAGCTTTGGGTTCAATACACAACAAAGCAACCCCCTTCCCAAGTACATTTGGAAGGAGTTCTGTGTTTATTTGTCTTTTATTGTTGATTTCTAGGGTTTGCTACATATTATGGATATGAATGCTCTGTAGATATATGTACTGGATATTTTTCATGGTCTGTGACTTGCCTACAGTATGATGTTTTTTGCACATGTTTAAAAATACAATAAAATCCCATTTATCAGTGTTTTCATTTATGATTAGAGCTTTTTGTGTCCTGTCCAAGAAATCTTTGCTCACTCTAAGTTTGTAAGGTTAGTCTTATGTTTTCTTCTAGGAGCTTTGTACTGTAGGTCTGGGTTTTATGATTAGGTCTGTGATTGGTTTTGAATTAATTTTTGTGTTTTAAAGTGAGATAGGAGCTGGCTTTCATTTTTTTTTTCTATATAAGAAATTTAGTTGTCCCCTACCAATTGTTAGAGACTTCTTTTCCAAATTGAATTGTTTTGGTGCTTGGTCAAAATCTTTTGTGTGGATCTGTTTCTTCAGTTTGTTCTATTTCATTGTTTCTCTTGTCTGCTTTTATACCTATACCATCTTGTCCTGATTATTCTAGCTTTGTGGTTCTCAGTCTGGGGTGATTTTGGTATCTTGGAGATGTTTGACTATGTTGGAAATATTTTTGGTTGTCACAGATGGGGTGGGAGGCATGCTGCTGGTCTTCAGTGAGTGGGTGACAGAGATTGCTAAACATTTTGTATGTATAGGACAAACCCCAACAATAAAGAGTTACTCAGCCCCAAATCCCAGTAGTGCCAAGGTTGGGAAACGTGCTTTATAAGTCTTGAAGTCAGTTTAAGTTATCAATTTTTTGTGCTTTTTCTTTTTTTCCAAATACTAGTTTGGTCATTCCATCTCCTTTGTATTACCTTATGGAATCCGGTCATCAGTTTCTACAAAAGAATCTATTATTTTGCTAGGAATTGTTTGAAAGATAGATCTATGCATAAGTGTTGCCCGGTATGCTAGTTTAGATTTATACTTTAAATCCAAAAGAGTTGACAAAGGCCCTGGGTTCAGGCTCCACTACTGCAAACAAAACAAAATGAATCCAAAATAAGTAAAATATTATAAATAATTCAAATAGAATACAATTAAAAATTTATTTCCTTAGCAATAGCCATATTGAAAGTGCTCAGCAGCTGTGACCAGTGACCAATGGTCACAATCAGAGAACATTCACCATCACAGAAAGGGCTTTTCAGTAGCACTAGTGTAGGTTGTTGGTAGAGAATGGGTATAATATTTGTTCTTTTGGCCCGTGAGTATAGAAGATTTTTTGGGGGGGGGGGTTCTTTTTCTTTCTTTCTTTCTTTCTTTTTTTTTAATATTCTCCTAGCAGATTACAAGAGTTCAATCCTAATCCTAATCCTCATTCACTGCTCATTTTTAACCATTAGTGGGTATTGTCAGGGTTTTTCCTCTACATCTATTGAAATGATCATGGAGAGGCTTTTCTCCTTTATCAAATAATTTTATTGGCTGTCATATGTTAGAATACACCTTAAACTCTTTCAGTAACCCCTAGTTGGTTATGATGTATTACTGTGTTCATATATTGCTAGTTTTGGTTTGATAATATGCTTTACTTAAAAAGTAAGGATTTTTACATCTACGCTCTTGAGAGAGTTTGGTCTGTGTCACTCTCTTAGAGCATTCTTATACTGCTTCGCCATTAGGGTCATGCTGGCCTCAGAGAGTAAGTTGGAAACTCCCCTGGCCTGGCCAGAGAGTACTAGTAATTGAACTCTTACTCTGTGCCACTTTGCAGAGCCCAGGTCTTTTAACACTTACAACTATGCTAGCAGCTAATAATGTCCCTACTTTTCAAGCAAAGAACCTCAGGCCAGAAACCTCACTTCCTAAGCTATAAAGGTATCTTTGTTACTTTTTTTTGTTGCTGAGACAAAATACCCAACACCCAAAGTTAAAGGAGGAAAGGTTTATTTTACTTCGTTGTTTGTAGAGGTTTCATTCTATAGTCAGCTAGCTCCAAGGCAGGATGGCATGGCAGAGGGGCATCATAGAGGAGAAATAGTCCATGACAAAGTATGGAGCAGGCAGTTAAGCAGCAAGTAGCAGCAGCAGCAAGCAGCAACAGCAAGCCTGTTTCCATTCTGTCCCTTTTCCATCCAGACTATAAACCTATTGATTGGTGCCACCCATACCCAGAGTGGAGCTTCTATTATCCACACCCTTAATTCCACTATCACTCTCTTAATCCACATTCACACATCCTAATTCAGCCACCTTCAAAACTTCCCACCTATGACTGCATGAGGCTTTAGGGGGACATCTAGATACAAGCCATAACAAAAGGGTAGAGTCAGAGTCTGATTCTAAGCTCTGAGGACTCTCAAGGACCAGCTCCTGAACCATAGTTCCCACTGATGATCCCTTGGAACAAGCCAGGCTATGTCTCAGCTGGTGGCCACGCTTTAGTCTGTGGGGTAGAGCCTGGCTTTCTCTACGGGGCTATGTTCCCAGCAAGGGTGTTGGGGGTTAAAGCTACCACTGGGCTCTCTTTGGCCAGTGCCAGGTTTGTTCTCCATCTTCCTTGTTTTATTGGAGCATGAGAGTTTCTCATTTACCATTTGAGGAGATTGTGGGGCCTTAATAGAACTAGTTCTGAATGGTTGATGACAATATATTCTCATTGTGAGTAGAACTGGGAATTACCCAGATGCTTAGCATGGACAATCTCTCTTTCCAGGATGCTTGGATATTAATTCATCTGTGAAGGGGGCTCGATTTGTCAGATTCTGTGATGCATTCAATATTCCACTCATCACTTTTGTTGATGTCCCTGGCTTTCTGCCTGGTAAGTCATAGCAGAGATGGGACCATTCTTTTTGCCCAGTAAGGCACCAAGTTTATTTGGAGATTTTCTTGCACAATTCCATAAGGATTTGTGACTTCTCTATATTCTGGGTGTCCAGAAGACAGAGCTGTGTGAGGATTTGCCCTCTTTGCTGTTTTTTTGTTTTTGTTTTTTTGGTACTGGGGATCGAACTCGGGATCTTGCGCTTCCGAGGCAGGCAGCGGAAGCACTGAGCTAAATCCCTGGCCCTAGAATTCACCCTCTTTGGAGGTGCAAGAAGACTTCAAAGCTGTGAGTGGCAGGCAAACTTAGGAGGATGTTTGTGAGTATTTACTAATTCTTCCTCATGACCCAGGCACAGCACAGGAATATGGGGGCATCATCCGGCATGGCGCCAAGCTTCTCTATGCATTTGCCGAGGCAACTGTGCCCAAAGTCACAATCATCACCAGGAAGGTGAGGCCCTTATGTTGGAGGCTGTGACCTCAAACCCCACCCTACCCCCCAAGAAGCATGGCCGTAGTGGAGGCGTGGCTGAGTGTCACCAGGGCTCAAGGAGGAGTACTCCTTGCACATCCCTGTAGAGGCCAGCATTTCCAGCCCTGGAGAGATATCTGTGGATTTTCAGAGAGCTGAAAGAGCAGAGAGGAAATGCCAAGAAGGACATGGAACATCAAATGTGAATGGCCTTATAAATCTCAGCCTTTAGGAGCCCAGGAGGGGACTGTTGTTCTTTGCCTCTGTTTCATCAGCTTTGTGGGGCTTTTCAGGGCTATGATCTGGTTGTCTCAGGCTCTGACATCCAGCTTTTGGATCTGTTCTAGGCCTATGGAGGTGCCTATGATGTCATGAGCTCTAAGCACCTTCTTGGTGACACCAACTATGCCTGGCCCACAGCAGAAATTGCAGTCATGGGAGCAAAGGTGAGGATCTCTAGCTTTCCTCTTTCCTCAATTCAGGGACTTTCTTTTCCCAGTGCGAGTTCAAAGCATAGCTGGTAAATATTGGTAAGAAGTGAGGGCCAAGGGTGGGAAGTGGGGCCTAGATCTTGGCATGTCTTCCCTGTGGGGGCCCAAATCCAGCATTGCCTCTTGTCATCCTCTTACTGCAGGCATGTACTGGGGTCTTCATGGCAGGGGAATCAGGTGGAAGGAATAGAATGGCGAGGGCCCCAGAGTGGGTTTTGAGATTGTAAGTAGCAAGGGGAGAGGGTTGAATCAGCTGGACTAAAACCCAGGAGAGATTGAACATTCTCCCCAGTCCTACCTCAGCTCCATTGAAGGCCCTGGAGCCCATAAGAAACTGAATTCTGACTATAGGCAAGGTACTTCCTGGTTTTTGACCTATTCTCCTCTCCTTCTCTGGTTCAAAAGAGCTATTGAGGTTGAACCAGGTAACTCCTAGGGTCCCTAGAACTGATTTACAGGTGTTTTGACTTGAAGGTCAATCCTTGTAGTTAAATCTGTGCTCCTCTGGCCACCTAATTGTATATTCAGAGCTCAGGATAATAAAAAGGGAAAACCATATTGTTAATTCCTTTTGATGGAGGGGATGATAAGAATTAATAGCAGATAATCGGCCAAACATCTTTGCCTCAAAGGACAAGGAGTGCAGATGGAGAAGGTGAGTGTATCAGTCAGTGCTTACTAGAGAAACAGATTTAATGCAAGATACATGAATAAAGTGGTACCTCAGTTCATTAACATTTTTGTTTGCAAACAGTGTGGTTTGTAAACAGTAGTGTTTGGCAAAATTTTGTTTTTGTTTGCAAACTCTGTATCAGATGATGAACATGACTGTGGCCATCTTTCCCACATGAACACGAACATGGCCATCTTTTCAGAACTGTAAATTGAATTAAGTTTGTGAACTGAGATACCACTGTATATGAGAATTTACAAGATTGGCTTACAGTGGCTGCCTGAGAGTCAGGTATGGAAAAGTGCAAAAGGGCTGTCCATGTGCTAGAGATGCAAAGGATCCAGTCGAAGGCCTGGAGCTCACTGTACTGTCCTGTGTGAGTTTGTATCATGAGGCTGAACGGTCTGTGCTGGGGGCTGAAGAGTCGGGACTCTGCACAGGAAGCCAGGAGATGACATCCAAAGTGAAGGTTAAGACTGGAGTTCCTTCAAAGAAACAGAAGCGAGCCTTCCTTCCTTTCTCTTTTATTCCATTCAGGCAGCAAGCCTATTAGTTGCTGTCACTCACACCCAGGGTGGGTCCTCTGTCTTCAGTAAATCCCTGTAGCCACACACAGAACTATTTAGTTGGGTGTTTTTTACTCAAGTTGACACAATCAATTAACTATCACAGTGGGATGGAATTGGGGCTACTGGCAGGCATCCCATCTTGCAGACCCTGGAGTCATGATGGCTGCTCCCAGGTGGTACCTGTCCCTCTGTTTTTCCTTTTGGAGCTGTCACTTCCTTCCTGCACTCTTTGGCTTGCCAAGAAGTTCACAACCACACACAGTGATAAGGAGTTGATAGGTCTGTCCTGGTTAGGACTCCAGTGAAGCTTGTTATGTCCTTGTAACAGGGTGCTGTGGAGATCATCTTCAAAGGGCATGAGGATGTGGACGCTGCCCAGGCAGAGTATGTTGAGAAGTTCGCCAACCCTTTTCCTGCAGCAGTGAGAGGTGGGACCTGGTGGGGAGGGTGGTTTTATTTGGGCTCATTCTTTCCAAAATATTTCACATAATTGCCTTTTACCTTTGTTGTCCACTCTGTAGACTGGGCAAGGTTAGGGCTGTTCCCTGGCCATGATTATTTATGAACAGCAGAGCTGCCCAGGCAGGTTTGGTAACCAGGATCAAAACAGTACTGCTGAAGGGATTACATCGCTAGGGGTGTTCCTTTTATGTAGCAATATTTTTACACAATGCTCTCCATCCCAAACTTAGTGGCTTAAAATAACCAATTTCTGCTTGTGGTTCTGAGGGTTAGCAATTTGGTTGGGCTTAGCTTGGCAGGCTTTCACCTAAAGGTCTCCCAATTTTAGAATGCCAGTCGAGGCTTGTTTATGTCTCATCTAGGGCAGCAAAAAGGGTGAATGGAACCTGCGGGATCCCTTGAAGCCTAGGTTTAGAAGTTGCAGTGTCATATTTGCCACTTTATTGACCAAAGCAACTCACAAGACCAGAGAGAATAGAATCTCTCTACACGAGAGAAAAGTGGCAGACACATTACACGACTTGTGTACAGGGATGGGAAAACTGTTGGAGTCATCTTAAAAAAATTAATTTTTTTTTGGTACTGGGAATCAAACTCAGGGCCTCACTCTTACCAGGAAAGTGCTGCACCACTGAGCTACATCCCCAGCCTGAAACTAGATGTATTTTTTAAATTTTATTTTTGGTTGAATTTATCTTGGCAGGGTGGAGGCCCTGGAGCAAGCTGGGTAGGGAAGAGGATGACATTTTCCTTTTCTTGCCAAGTGCTCCCTAGGCAGAAGTTTGTGGGCCTGCCAGGGGAACTGGCAGACTCCTGGGACAAGGGAGTTAGCAGCGCCAGGTGCCTCTGTATCACTGGGCACTGGGGCCCAGGGATGGTGGTTGGTATAAACACAGGTGGGCTTAGGGGCACTGTCTGGGCATGTGGTCATCTCCTCTTCTGTGCTTCACCAGGGTTTGTGGATGACATCATACAGCCTTCTTCTACACGTGCCCGAATCTGCTGTGACTTGGATGTCTTGGCCAGCAAGAAGGTACAGCGTCCTTGGAGGAAACATGCGAATATTCCGTTGTAAACAAACCAAAGGGGGGAAAACAAAACAAAACAAGAGCTGAACCAAGAGCCCATCCCTGCCTTTGCAATCATGACAATCTGGGAATCTAAATACCAGTAATAGCTTGGAATAGCTAAAAGTTTATTCAATTCTAGGAGAATCTCTTTTGTGCCTTATAAAATTATTTGCTTTATTAAAAATCTTAATTGGTATTGAGTATAAATTTTCATTTTTTATGGTGGAAATGTGACAAACCAAGAACATTAGAAAGGAAACAATATGTCATCACCCAGGGCTGACCATTTTTTGGCACCTGTGATTCGGATGTGGTTTGTATCCTCTAAAGGTGCATGTGTTGGGAGCTTGGTGTGAAGTGGGATGTGGGACCTACATAAGGTGGGATATAGTGGAACTCTTCAGGTCAGTTGGGAGACCGTGCTCTCTCACTTCCTCTTTGGCAATGTGATCTCTCCTCACAAATGTGCTTCTGCCATGTGATGCAGCCAGAGGGATCCTCATCAGAACCAAGCTGATGTTATCACCACGTCCTTCAGTCTCTGGAACTGTGAGCTAAATAAGCCTCTTTTCTTTTTGAAGTTAAGTTTGCCATAGGTATTTTGTTATAGTAATGAAAATTAGGCTCAGTGGTGGATCACTTGTTTAGCATGTGCCAGGCCCCGCCACCAAAAGAGAACTATACAATGCTTTGGTATATTGTTTTCCTTTAAGAATAATTTTTTATACCTAAGTGAGATGTATTTTTAAGGCAGTTTATTTCTTAGGCTTCAGCTGTCTTACTGTGAAGATAGCAGTAACATATCCTCTTAATTCCCATGTGAATCACTGAAGGTTAATGAGGTATTTGTGATTGTGCTTGTTTAGCAGAGCAGATGTGAAGGTGTGTAGTTTGCCATATCGACTTATTTCCAGAAATATACTCACATTTTAAAACTTTGTGAAAATTTCAAGCCTATAGAAATGTTGCAAGTTATATTAATAGCATTTACCTATATTCTTCAGTTAACATTTTTGTATTTGCTTCTTTTCATAAATATATTAAATATATATGTATATATAAAAACTGATGAGAAAAACTTGCATAATACTGTACTTTAGTTTTTTAAGAACAAAGTCTATTGTCCTCTATAAGTTTATTTTTTATGATATTGGCATTTTTGAGAGATGCTTTCTTGCCATTTTGTAGAAGTACCTCAATTTGGGTTTTCATGATTTGCTTCTGTATATTTAGATAAAAGTAAACCATAAATGTGGCCCATCAGGGTCACATCAAAAAGCAGTTTCAGTGCTGGGGACTTAGCTCAGTGGTTTCGCTGCCTGCTGCACAAGTGCGAGGACCCCAGTTCAATCCCTGGTACCAAAAAAATAAAATAAAGTAAAAAATAAAAAAGCAGTTTCATTAATAGTTAATGTTGATTGTGTGGGTGCAAAAGATTTTCTACTAAGCTTGCCATTTTAACTTTGTAACTAATAACTAATTTGTGGAGCATCCTTTAGTTATTTGTCAACAAACTTTCACTCAGTAGTTTATTCTTCTTGCCTCAATCATTGTGATTGTAAAATGTTGTTTCTAATCTTATATCAACATTTATCAGAAGTTTAAGCAATGAACTCTTTTTCCTTTGCATCAGTTTAGAGCCATGGATTCTTTAAAATGTGTTATTCTTAGGGTGGGCATAGTAGCACATGCCTGTAATCCCAGCACTCTGGGAGGCTGAGACAGAAGGATTGCAATTTTGAGCCTAGCCTGAGCAATTTATTGACATAGCAAGACCCTGTCTCAAAAGGGATGGGGGAGTATTATTGTGGAACTGGGGACTGAACCCAGGAATGCCTAAGCTATACCACTAACCCTTTTTAAAAATTTTATTTTGAAATATTAATCCCAATATTGAGGAGGCTGGGGCAGGTGTATCACAAGTTTAAGAACAGCCTAAGTAACTTAGGAAGATGGTATCTTATTTAAAAAAAAAAAAAAAAAAAAAAAGGTTACATATTTAGCTCAGCATGTACTGCCCTCCCCCACCAGGTGGTACCTGATAAAGGTCCTCCCAAAACAAGGCACTTTCAGAGCAGGGACAGAACACTGAGCATGATCAGGCAGGAAAAGTCTCAGCAGACACCAAATATATTTTGCTAAAGACATCATTCCTGGTTTTCCCTGGTTGATGGACTCTTTTACCTGTGAGCAGGGCCAATGAGTAGACAGTTTTAGAGATCTAGAAGCCTGTCTATCCCAAAGCAAAGTCATACATAGGTAAAGCCCTGTTTACTCTCAAGCTTGTAGCCTTCAAGTTGAGCTGCCATAGATCTGTCCTTATCAGCATCTCTCTTTGGGCTCACCTGCTGATTTTATTTCTTATATTCCTGTCTTTACTGCATATGGATTTTATGCTGTTTAATGAGCTCAGCCCAAAAGACCAGAATCAGGCCATAAAGTGTGTAAAGGTTTGACACCAGCGGTAAATCATTGGTGCAGAATTCTGCAGCACTGAGATTATATACAATCTGGGCAGTCTTCACAGGGCCACTGCTCAACACAGCTGCATGAGCTTAGGTAGCCAAACGGGCAGTGGATGTTCCTGAATGCTACTTTTTAAAACTTTCCCTGTAGGAGACTCCCTCGTAAACGACAAACAACTTGGCCTAGGGCCAGGGGATTTAGCTCCGTGGTTCTGCCACCTGCCTCGCAAGTGCAAGGACCCAAGTTCGATCCCTGGTACAAAAAAAACCCAACTTGGCCTACTGTTTTGCTCTAAGGAAATCCAAGGAATGAAAGAAAATTTTATGAGATAATCCTAAATTTTTTCTTAAAACAAAAACACCTATTATGGTAAACTTACCATCATTTAACAAATTAAAACAGTAAACTCTCTGAAGAGCCAGCAGGACAGCAAATAGTATACTTAAAACTTTACTTAGTAGGAACAATAGGATGACTACCACAGGCCTGATTTTGAATAGTTTATTAAAGGAAAAGTGAAGCATCAGTTTCAAATTGTACAAAAGGAAAAAAAACCTCATATTGCAAATGTACAATTTACAGAATTACTAGCAAAACCAATCAAGGAGACACTGAAAATACAAAAATTTGATTGACTTCAAACTGAACTGGAAACCCATTGGAGTAGACTGCTTAGTAGTCTGTAATTCTAAGTCAGCATCTGTTTTCCACAAGAGACTGTCAAACAAAGAACCAGGCATGTGCCAGGCCCCTCCAAGGCTTGCTCCCCGGCCAGAACTGCAGGCAGGGCTGGGGTGGACTGTCCAGTCATTCCTGCCTCTTTACTTCCAGCAAAGCCCACCCCTCCTTAGAGCCCAAGAATTGCTGAATTAGCAGTTAAAACATTTTTGGTGACCAAGATTTTTTTCCAAACTGTACAAATTGTGAGAAAAATCTGTTTTGTGTCTGTTTACTAAAAGGAAGAATAAAACCCATTTTGCTTTCCCACACAGAATTATGGGGTGCACAGAATTTTTTAAAAATGTCTTTCATTTTTTTGGTAAAAAGGGAAAGCTCATGATTTTCTTGCAGCTACTTAAAACACCAGCTCAGAAACAGCTGTGCATGGATTGGTTTGGAAATTCTGAGACTTAACATTAAAAATTAGGAAGAAACTATATGGGCTTTTATAACAATAGCAGCAAGTCTTAAAAAAAAAAAAAAAACCTAAGCAGACTGTATCTCTAAACCATTGAAGACTGTTCCTGAAGATTCATAATTTCTTACCCCCAAAGAATTATTCTTCTATGCACATTTAACACTGAAATGTAAGCTGTATTTCAAGGTAAGCTTAGGAACTTCATCCTCTAAAGCACAGACTTATATGCGGCACATACTTCTATAATTGGCAAACTTAATTCACAAAATTAGCGAATAAGGGCATTAAGTGCATGGGAAGTAGACACAGTTATGTTACACTTAAATTACTTTTGAATGTTAGAGGATTTCCTCATGATTATCTTTGTAAGAAAATGGAAATCTGTGTAGCCTGAATTTGGCAGGGCATGAAATATAAGTGGTAAAAACAGCGAACTGATAACTTGAGAACCAGTTTTATTTTACTGAGAATACTTTATTTGCTGGTAGAAGTTGCTAAAAATGCACAGAACAAATACCAATAGAAAATGCACTGTATTTGAATCTCCCTATTCTATATAAAATGAATGGTGTACAGCATCTGTTGGAAAAATGGCTGCATGGACATTTCTTATTTTATGCCCACTTATAAATAAAAATAAACCTTTTTATTCAAGAGTATATAAAATCTGGGAATTCATATCCATATTCACAGAGGGTGTGTGGTTTTTGGCAGAGATGCACGATGTCAAAATTTCATCTTAGCTTGTCAGTGTTCTGTTCTTTCATGTTTCTGTGTTCACAAGGTCAACCAAATCCAGTGAGCTCCAAAAACACTCTTCGGCAATTAGGATAAGCTGCTTACTCATAGGTTTAATAAAAATGGTTAGCTTTTAAAACATAAAAAGGCAAAATGTTAAAACGGTTTTTAAATTGTACAACAGGAAAATAAAGTTAAAAATATTTTTTTTACTCAATGTTGAGTTTTCATAAAACAGGTGTATAACAGTGTTTTTATCTTGACAGTTGTTTTAAAAATTTAAAATTTCTTCCTCCCTCCAGAAAAACACACATCTGTACTGAGATAAGTCCAATATTAGGACACAAATGATTTTTTGGATCAGTCTTTATGAGGTGACATTCACCAACACTTCCTTGGGTAATTTACATGCTCCTCTTCTCTGTCACACTGCAAAAAGGGATTGACCTTAATCATTTGATTAAAAAACAAATCAGATCACATCAAAAGTGTTTTTTCCCCATAGAAGCTATCACAGTATATAGGCCTCTAGCTCTAAATAATAGAGTTCCAGATTTGTAAATTTTCTTTAGATTTCAGAACATAGGCATTCCAAATCCCTAGAAAAATAAGAGACATGATTAATTTCATGAATATACAAGACCCAGAAGCCATAAGTAAAAAGCAGTAATAATTTAATATTTACTGAATCATCTTCTATGATAGCTGCAGAGTCAAAGAAGTCTGGCCTCAGTTCAGCTCTCTCTCGCCGATTTCTTGATGGAGGCTGCAAAAAGAAATGACTTAATGGTCTTAGGTGGGGGAAAATAATTTTAAGATAATAAATTGTGATAAACAGCTAATATTTCTGACAGTATACAGAAACATCAAGAGTCGGTTTTTTAAAAAGTAACTATTTTTTTATTTTAATTATCAAAAGACAAAAAGGGGCTTTCAAATGAAAATGAATAAACCGAACATGTAAATCCATGTAAGTTTGGGCCCAAAAACATCTTTCAAGTCATGAAATAATTATAAAAATGACCAAATACTAGATGGTAAACCTCAGTGAAATCTCCAAAGGAGGTGGATGAAAAGCTTTTAGAGGGCTGGGATAGGAAGGTTATAGATTATAAGAAATAGGAGATCATGTCATTCTAAACTTGGGCTGAATCGTGACTGCCCCGCCTCATTTTATGTTGAAGTCCTAACTCCTTCTAGAACCTGAGAATGTGACTATATTTGAAGATAGGGCCTTTAAATGAGGTAATTAAGGTAAAATGAGGTCATATGGATGGGCCCTAATCACATGACTGGTGTTCTCATAAGACACAGATAAAGACAAAGTCCATATGAAGACAAAGGAAAAAGGCAGCTATCTACAAGCCAAGGAGAGAGACTCAAAGTGAAACTGACGGCTAACAATTCCTCTTGGATTTCTAGCTGTTTAAGTCACCCAGTCTATGTTATGGCAGTCCTAGCTAACTGATATCCTGGGAAACAGTCTGATGAATGTCCATATATCAGTCACCTTGCTCCAATATTTGATTGATCTTGTTTCACTGAATTTTCCCACTATATTTTCTTTCCCATGTCATTTCACCTATAATCATAACTATTTCAACATGTAATCTATAGCTAATGAAAACTTCTAAAAAACCATACCACCACGCATTCTGAAAAAATAATTTAGTATCACATATGTGATACTCAGGTTTCCTTATCTCAAGCATGTCTTTTTATAATGAACACATTCTAGGATCTGCATCTGATTGTTATGTTGGAATATAGACTATTTTTTGGTACCGGGGATCAAACTCAGGACCTTGCGCTTGCGAGGCAGGCGCAGTGCCACTGAGCTAAATCCCCAGTCCCAGACTATATTGTTAAAGAATACAATTTAGTAAAGTACAAGATACCTGATACACCACACTATGCTGAAAGATCTGATGTTAACTCTTTTACAAGAAGGAACCAAATACTATGAAAAGAAGGTATCAAATATGATGCTTTGAAAGCAGGCTTAAAAAACACACAAGCTCATCCAAATGCCCACCACTGATCAATGTTACCATTCCTCACCTCACCTTCCCTTCCCAGTTTTCTGAGAACAAGAGCATCATCTGAGCCCAATACCCTCACATATTTTAAGAGAAGAAAAACTATAGTGAATTTCCTTACCAGATCAATAACCATGGTGTCTTCAAATTCTTCATTCATATCTTCTAATTGGCTTCGGGATGACATCATCACATCTTCAAAGATGGGCTCAGCATCTTCTTCCATTAGACCCCGACTGATAAGGGAAAGGTATAGTCAGAAAGGCATTTACTCATCTAATTTAGAGTCTTGGAGTCCTGGCTCTTTCATAATTAAGTTCTTCTAACCAACATAATTATGATTTATAGACTACACAAATTATGATACTGAACTACAATTAAGGATTATTCCTTTGGCTTACTGAAGATTTCATCAGAAGTGTAGTATAACTTAAATGCAATGACAGAACATTTATATATAAATAAAAATTAGCTATGTGACAATTCCCCCAAAATTCTGCTTCAAACTATAATCTTAATTTTACAAATTGAGCAACATGAGACAGGTGTTTTAGAGCTTGCTGTAGGCCACATAACTGGCAAATGGTAAGCTCTAGGCTTTAAATGTTGAACACCTTGAAAGTTCATGCCCCCTATTTCTGTGCTGCATAGCGTATCAAGAGTTGTAATTTTAACTTGACTAAACATCAGAAATATCTATACAGTTATGTTCTTCTAATACTCAATTTAACACTTACACAGCATGCCTTACTCCAGTTCTCACTTTCATGTAGTTCATTCCTGTTCTGTCCTTCCGATTCAGGTCTTCTAACTTCGGCTGGCCTAACCAAGAGATCTGCATCTGTGGACTAAGGGGGGTAGGGTGGTGTATTAGTCATTTTGTGGCAGCAGATGATGTATTAGCTTATCAGCCCCATGCTAGGAAAATTATGGCTGGTTGACTTTAATCCTTGTGTAAGGGTGATATTAGCTGAATTTATTCCAGTACCTCTGCAAAAAAGGCAGTAAGCTACCCAAAAAGATCCCTAAATCGTTAAGCAGGCTAGAGATAGCTGTTAATGCCCAAGCTGTCAGCGGTAACTCCCAAATCTCTACCCAACAAGGGCACTTTAGCTTGTTTTAGGCTGTTGTACCAGTCACAGGTATACATACCTATCTTAGAAAATAAATCTCTAAGTAACAGAAATGATATTGGCCTGGCAGCTGAAAGCCCTATAGAGTTGAACAAGAAAGGATATAGCGTATCTTTTATCAGTACTATACTTAGAAAGGCTTACAAGTCCTTATAAGTTTCTGAGTTCTGAGAGAGTCAAATCTTCACCTGTACTCTATACTTACCAACAATGGGAACTTGCATAAATATGCCTCTTGGGAATTTTATAGGATGTAAACCTTAGTGATTTTTAGCAGATAAAAATTGGTCACATAAAATTCTCTCTAGCCATCTTTATATCCTGTGGGGCTACTACTTTGATTAGACCCTATAATGCTTGGGCTAAAAGGGCTACGGCTATAAACCCAGGAAAAAGAAGACACTGTGGCCAAAAGGACTAAAAAATGTGAAGTGAAGGGAAGGTAGGCTGCTCAATTAAGGAGAACCCACTCTGTACTGTACTGTACTGGTGAGACCACCCATGTTATGCAAGATGTTGGACATAAGGCAAAAGTCCTAGGAAGTTACCATTCTATCTTGAATGATAAAAAAATCAAGGCTAAAAAGATAAAGCTTGTTTCGCTGGATCAGTGGTGGTGAACTCATAGCATGCATGTTGTGTTTTTCATTTAAGACAAAAGATGTTATGTATGAGTTGTTCTTTCTAAACTAAAACTTCAGTATTCAAGTTTAATTGAAGTGTTGGCACTTCGTGATAAATAAGTGGATTTTGGGTTGTAGTTTGGGCAGCCGGTCTCTAAAAGGTTCTCCCATCACTTTACCAGGTCAATAAAAGTCCCTGAACTTTGAGGATTTGATATCCACAACACTTTGTGGACTTTTAATATATCTTTTCATATAAACTACCCTGTGGCTTCATTTTTAAGATCTCACTGTCAGTATGCTGCGATGAACAAAGTTGTTTTTTTTCTCATGATCCTCCTGCCCCAGCCTCCCATGTGCTGGGATTACAGGCACGTACACCATGCCTAGCCGCAGTTTTTCTTGGGTAATTTTACTTTCTTTGACAATTGCAGGTTTTATGCCAAGAAAATGAACTTTTAGTACTTACTTGTGTAAAAAGTCTGGTTCAGAACCATGTTCAGACTCAGGTTCTTGAATCTGTTCTCCCAAGGGCCGGCTATTGTCTCGCAGCACAGTGGAAGTAAGCTGTGGGGCTGGCAGGGGGCCAGGAGTCTGAATCATGGTGTCTGTTCTGTTTAGCCATGTGTTATCCAGACTTTCATCTGTAAAATTTCAGTTATAGTCTCTCAATGCTACACATGGAGTGAACTCTGGTGGTAGTTACAACACTGACTTAAAGAGCATGACTTTGCAAATATACTGCCTACTTTGAATCCTAGTGATATCATTTCTTTGTATGACATTATTAAACTTCCAAAGATCAGTTTTCCCACATATAAAAGAGATATGAATACCCAGCCCTCACAGAGTTGTAAGATTAAGTGAGGCAATGTATATAACAATCAAATGTTGGCTATCACCACAACATTATGTCTCTTAAGTCCATCTCAGGATTCATTCACCTTAGAAAGGAAAGAGTGGAGTCAGCCACAGACCTCTCCAACTTCCCTTTGTTCAAGCAATAAAGGTCCTATTTGTTAGGCCTCATAAGGCAGGCAGCAACACTTAAAAGACTTGTTGGCATTTATAGAGGAACCAGCAAAAACCCTCATAGAATTGGACACTGCAGAGAAATAACTCTCTTTGCCAGTTTATCCATGTGTAGATAAGAGTTTGATTGCTTTCACGCCCTTAAGTCTTTCAGATAAATCTCCTCTGATCACCCCACTCAGCCCCCACTTACCATTCTCATCTAACTTTTAAAGGAAATGAAATAATTTCTGCTTACTAAGGAATTATACACTATCTTACCATAGCAGGTAATTTGTCTTATGTATATGTTATCTCTGTACTGTAATCACATGTAAATTCCTTCAAGGGGCCAGGGACCCCCCCTTCCTCCTAAAGATGATTTATAAAGATTAAGGCATCATTTGCACATCTAACACATCCTGATAAAATAATGCATCCAAATTTCTGCATATAAAAATTCTAAGTTACTATAATGTTGAGTTTTACAATTTCCTCAATTTAAATCACAAAGTATAGTATGAATCCCATTATTTTTTTCTCCTGATTAAGCTCAGACATGAACATATGTTAGGTTCCTTGTATGCCACCAAGAACTGCATCTGTTTCTTGATGTTTTGCCAGACCCATGTGTAACTCCTGGATTGGCTTTTCTGTCCCTAAAAATACCCACCCATTGTCTGGTTAAAGCCATTCTAATGATCTGAAACTTACTACTAGATCTCTTACAATGTGTTTAATCATCAACTATTCATATTACTTTTAATTTGACATTTAATTCAAAACTTTTATTCTTTTCTACACTTAAATTTTGTGCTCAAAAGACTATCACTTAGATTCTTACCTAAAACCATTTGTCAGGTCTTTACTTCAGGTCCTCTTGTCTAGAAAATCTTTTCTGATTCATTAAAATTTTGGTTACCCCATGTATGTTCCCAAAGGCTCCTGTGTCTGGCCTATCATGCTGAACTCCAATTGCATTTTTCTTCTCTGTCTCCCCATCTACACTAAGAGCTCTTTTATTAATTCCTAATCTGTGGCACTTAACCTAGTTCTTAGAAAGATGCTTGGTAGAGACTTAAATGTGTAACTTCAGGAAAAGCTCACTCCTCTTAAATGGATCCATCTAACTGCCTAAAGTTCCTCAGTGAAAATGTTTTTGGTAATGTACTCTTCATCTTCATCCCAAACAGATGAAACTCTGCTGCCTAAGGGCTCTACGTAAGGAACCTATTTCAGTCATTTTGTAAATTTAAAATTCATACAGAGAAAGTTCTCTATAATTTACCAATTATCAAATTAGGTTTTCTGGTCTATAAATGTGTCTGTAGTCTTAAAGATAATACTGACATCCATTAGTGAGTGATATATGGTTATTTATTTTTAATATACAGTTATTTAAATTCTCTAAGCCTTAGTTTTTTCTATGTAAAATTTGGATGAGATTTATATGACAAAGTCGATTTATATGACATCTATAAAGTATTACATAATACAATTGTATTAGTATTAAGTAATATAATAATAAAACACATAGTAAATATCTAGTGATGTTGGCCAATATGAATATCCCATCTAAGCTTTAAGTTTAAAAAATACATATAGAAAAAAAAATACATGTAGACATGGGGCATCCTGATAGAGGATACTGTAGAAACTATTTTCAAAGAGAAATGGAGTAATTCTTTATAGAAAAGTCTAGGATCTTCTGCAACAAAGATAAGATTTTATGTTTTCATTCCCTGGACTAAGAAGACTTAAGTCTTAAACCTGAAATCTTAAACTTTTATTAAGATTGTTAAACTTTATATTAAGAGTTAACTCTTTTATTCTCTTTAAAATACAGATGCTGCCTAATCTGACTGATACTAGATAAGAGGCATTACTCTATGATCATGGCATTCTGATAATAGCAGCTAACATTTATTGAATGCTACCTTTGTGCTAAACATCGTGCTCAGTACTAAGCAAGTACTATGTGTTTTATTTGGACCATCTCATTTAACATTCATACTGATAGGCTAGGTATTCTTTCATTTGATTAACCATTGAAGCTTAGGTTAAGTAACATGCTTAAAGGTCACATACCTGATAAATTAGAAAGCCAGCTTTGATTTCTGAAACTCTGATTTTAGAGTTTGTAGTCAATATTTACTTCCCAATAATGAAAGACACATTAGATTTAAATTCTAATTAATTTTGCCACGTATTTTAGAAAACCTTTGATAAATTAGTTTTTTTGGCAGTAGATACAGTGCTGAAATCTGAATAAATTATAAAAAAGATCAGGAGAACAGTACTCAGGTCTCTGCTGGCTTCTTGGTTTGGTTTTAATAGAAACATGGAGAAAGAGAAGATTATCTGGGAAAATAAGCATGTTTACTTTGAGGCATCTTTCAGTAAGTCAAAGAGAAATGCTGTGTTTTAACAGCAATTTTTATCATTGACCAGATTTTCATAACAGTTCAACTTCCTGTTTCTTACAGTCCCAGGAGGGTTATTAAACCAGATTTGACCATCACGTCTTATGGTATAAAAATAAATTACCCAACTAAATGATAGAACTAGAAAGGTATTCTGGCGTACTCAATTTGTTCCCTTCAAATTAGCAATAGCCATATATTAAGATGAATTTTAATATATTTTAAATTTCAGAGTAGCAGAGGCATATGGTATGGGGATCAACTCTGGCCTTTCATAACTGCTTCCTCTTTTTCTCTGTGCTATCTTCCTCTATTCTCAATGCTTCTTCAAATTCTTTTTTCTCGGCTCTTCATTTTGTCTATTTTAATCTTTGTACTTGGATATCTCAGTGTGTATCAAATGTACAAGGAAATCATGTGCCTAATACTATCTTGCTTCAACAGGTTATTTGCCACTTTACTTATCCCAGGCAAACTATTTATCTTAATATAAAGGCAGACAAAGCAGACTTACCTTCTACTCTTTTTTTGTGAAGTGGAGGTCGTCCTTTCTTATTTCTTACTGAGGAAGTTTTGCTGCTGCTGCTTCCACTGTTCACAGACATTCTATCATCTTCACCCCCAGTGACTAATGAATTTCTGTAGGAGATGAGTGGAAGCCACACATCTTCCCTCCTTTCCATCATCTGCTCAGTAAGGAATTTCTCTAGGTATGAATGACTAGAAACATAATAGAAACAGCAGTGAGTTTCATGTAAGTAGTTCATGTATCACTTAATTATTTTTTCTTAATCTGAGTCTTTCTGCAGATTCTGAAGAACTCTCAAGGAAGACGGTAACTGTGGCTACCTTCAAGATTGAGGGCTGGGGATTTAGCTCAGTGGCACCGTGCCTGCCTCACAAGTGCAAGGTCCTAAGTTCGATCCTCGGTACCCAAAAAAGAAAAAAATTGAGAACTTATGGTTTTGCTTCCTATATTCCTGGAATACTTTTAAACCACAGAAGTGTGTGTATGGAGTGTGTGTGTGCGTGCATGTGCTTTCCTACATTTCTTCCTTTGCTTTGTACCTACCAATGGGAAAAAAACATCAAGTTTGGCTCAAAAAAATTATTGAGTTTTCTTTTAAAGTGTTCAGATCAGGGTAGGAACTGAAATGGTGCAGTGAGGAAGATGGCATATCATCTCCACAGCAAAGTATCTTATTGGTAAAAATCATAAAAGACAGTATGTAAAGTCTTTGTAAATTGTCATAAAGGCATATATTAAATGGAGAAAAATTTATTCAAGAAAATCTACTAAATCTTGGTAAGAACAAGAGTTACAACACATTTAAACTACAACTTGTTCTCTTGCCTTGTTCCCTCTCACTGTAGCTCTGTGCTCTAGAAATTCTGCTCCAGGAAGATGGCTCTCCTCCCCAGCCCTCAGTCTAGGGCTACCTCGAAAGAAAGAGCACATCATTTACTTTTCTTATCACTCATTAGCCCTGTGGTGCAGAAGCTCTATTTTGAGCAACAGCTCAAAAACAAAACAAAACAAAACAAATAAACAAACAAAAAACAAGGCCCATCCAGCCCGAATCCACAGGGTAGGAGCTCCATTCTATGCATATCAAGATGAGAATACTGGGGCTCTGAATGCTTGAATTTTAGCTCCAGAGGTAAGGAGAGGCTGAAAACAAGAGGTTACCCAGCCTTTTCCTGCTCTAAGAGGAGGGGTGTTATTCTGGGAGAAGGATCCTGTCCCGTCCCATCCGATCCCATCCCATCCCATCTCATCCCATCCCTGTCTTCTCTTCTTCAGTGGCATAAACAGCAAATTATAAAGAAGCTTGTAGCTGTGTTTTGTGAGGACTGACAATTTGGAATGGAGTCTAGAAAATTTCTTTCCTAAAGGCCTTGTTAAAAACAGCAGGGATCTTAATGGAGGGCAAATAAGAGGGTACTTGTAAGTTCACTGATATTAGCAGCAACAAAATGACAGAGGTAAGAATCCATAAGTTTATCAGAACTAGGCAAAAACAGATCCTTTCTGGTGAGCAGGATGTGGTGGCACATGACTGTAATCCTAGCTACATGGAAAATGAGGGAGATTGAGGCAAGAGTATTATAAGTTTGAGTCTAGCCCTGTGCAACTTTGCAAGACTCTGCCCTCTCAGGACTGGTCATTTCTTGGATTTGTTAATCAGCTTAACTATAGTAATCATTTTGATATATGTTGTTTTACAATATATATCAAAACATCATGTTATTTAGCTTAAATATGTAAGATTATTATTTTTTGAAAAAGGAACAAAAACCTCCCAAATACCAAATTATCTTTCATTTCAAGAGCTCTAAATGTTTCATTTGAGTACAGGCTACCACATCTTCCTTGTGCTTATACTGTTCTCTGGCATGCTGTTTTCATCTCAGCTCTAGAAGAATGGTTCATTAACAGTCCTTCATGTTGATTAATAGGCTCCTGGGATATCCTGGCATTTTCCATTTATTCTTGTATGGAAGGGTACATTTTATTATTATTGCTCTGCTTAAGTAACTGCTATGCTTAAAGTAAGAAACCTGTCTATAGGCTCCAAATGCTGGCCCACTCAGAAATAACCAGACGGGGATCCTCAAAAATGTTAGTCCTTAGCTTAAAATATGGGGCAAAAATATAAATACCTTAAGTTAGGATAGCAGGTCTCATGCTACACATATACCCAACCATATGGATACTAAATCTATCTAAGGGAGCTTAAACATAACCTTTGATCAGTAAGTGGTTTATGCTGGTCAAGGGGTAATTTTGAGGTAGTCAAGCCAAATGTTAAAAGTAAGGTGAAACTGGTATGAGCAGCAATTATCAGAGATGCACATGATAGAATATTTTACTGAGTCTGTTCATCCAAGTAACTAAACAAATGACCAAGCAAACAACAATAAGCCTTTTGAAGGGCAAGGGATTAATATCAAAACTGGGTAAATAATTATTTCACAATACATATTACATTATCTAAAATGTCGAGTTATCAAGAAAAATGTATGGGGACTTTTTTTTTTTTTTTTTTTTTTGGTACGGGAGATCGAACTCAGGTCCTTGCGCTTGCGGGGCAGGCAGCAGAACCACTGAGCTAAATCCCTGGACCAAGAAAAATGTATGATATGCTAGCAAACAGAAATGTGATGTATACATAAGAAAAAAAAAATCAAGGAATAGGAAATTGGCCTACAAAAATTTCAAAGTGATTACTATATCTAAACATCTACAAAAGCCATATCTAAAGAACTGAAGAAATTGTGATGACACTAGCTTTTCAAATAGAGAATATAAGTAAAATAAAAGCACTAAATGTAAGTGTTATTTTTGGTGCTGGGGACTGAACTCAGAGATTTGTGCATACTAAGCTCTACTACTAAGCTACACCCACAGGTGTCAAATAGAAATCTTGCAGTTGAAAAGTACAATAATAGAAATTAAAAATATACTACAGGGGCTCAACAGTAGGTCTGAGCTAGAAAAAAAATCAGCAAGGCTGATGATGTTATCAAGGGATTATGCAATCTGAAAACAGAAAAAAGAATGAAGAAAAATGAACAAAGCCTGAGAGAAATGTGAGACACCAGTAACTGCCCTGACATTTACAGTAGGAATACCAAGAAAGAAGAGAAAGGAATTTAAAAGAAAAAGAAAAGAAAATGACTAAAACATCCTAAATTTGAGAAAAAACCATTAATTTACAAATCCACAAGGTCAATAAACTCCACACAAATGCAAAGATATCCACAGATTCATCACAAGAAAAACAATGAGAGCCAAACAGAGAAAAATTTGAAATTATATACAAAAGAAACCCAATAAAATTAAGACTGACTTCACATTAGCTGTCAGAAAGCTTCACAGAGGCTAGAAGGCAGTGGAAGTGCTAAAAGTAAAAGCAAGGAATTTTATTTACTGTCAGGGGATAGAACCTAGGTTCTTGTGCATACCAGGTAAGGAAGGGCTCTACCTCTGAGCTGCATTGTTATCCCTTAATGACTGTATACTGAAGATGACTGTATTTCAAAACTATACAGAAAATAAAGACATTCTCAAATATACAAAAGCTGAGCAATATGTTGCTAGCAAACTTGCCCTAGAAGAACTATTAAAGGAAGCTCTTTAAGCTGAAAGAATATGAAACTGGAAGGTAATCTGGATGTATATGAAAAAAGAAAGAATGCCTGTAAAGATAATTATGTAGAAAGTTATAAAAGACCACATAAGTGCATGCTTACTTACCTTTTATTTTCTTAATTTATAAAGCAACTGTATTACTGTATTATTGGGCCAATAGCACAGTATATTATTGGGCCAATAACATATCTCATAATAAGCAAAAAGAGGTAAGTGGGACAAAAGCTATATTACAGTAACCAAATGATTATCCAAATTCACAGGAAGAAATGAAGAGAACCAGAAATGGTATAGCGGAAAGTTAATATAACAAAGTCCATAAACATATATGTACTTTCCTTTATTTTCTCAGCTTCTAAAGACTGTATCAAGTAATACTTATATCATTGGGCTTATAACATAAATAGATGAACTATGTATAACAATAATTTCACAAAAAAGGAAGGAAGAAAATGGAGTTATATTGAAGTAAAGTTTCTACACTTCTTAGAGTTAAGTTAGAATAAATCCGAAGTAAATTATGATAAGATGTATATTGTAAGGTCTAAGAAAACAGTACAATTAAGGATCATTAAAGTAATTAAAATATTATATTAGAAAAAAAATCCACTCAGTATGAAAGGACGCAGTAATAAAGAACAAAAAACCACAATAAAAGTGCAAAAGAAGTATAGAAAACAAAAAGTATAACAGCAGAAATTGTTACCTGAATTAACAGCAGCAAGAACAAACATGACCCAACTATACGCTGTCTACATGAAACACACTTCAGATTCAAGGGCACAAAGGCAGAAAAGGAAAGGATAGGAAAATAAGACATTATTATACATACAATAACCGAAACAGAGCTAAAGGAGTTACACTAGTATCAGACAAAAATAGACAAAATTTACTGGAGACAGAATATGATCTTTTATGACATGAGTCCTTCTATCAGGAAGACACAACAATTTAAAATGTCTAATAACAGAGCCCCAAATTACAGGAAACTAAAAAAGTGCAAAATCGAAGGGTCAAATAAGCAACTCAGTAAAAACGGTTGATGACTTCACTTCATTTTTCAATAACGGATAGAGGGATGGGGAAAAAGTTTGGTGGCAGAGAATGTGCGTAGCATTTGTGAGGTTTTGGGATTGAGTTTCAGCACCACAAAACAAAACACAAACACAAACACACCCCTCAAAAAGGAAAAAAATGGATAATACAACTAAATAAAAGATTAACAAGGAAATAGACGTAAAACAGTACAAAGCTGGGTGTGGTGGCACATGCCCATAATCTCAGCACTCAGGAGGCTGAGGCAGGAGGACAGCTGTGAGTTTCAAGGCTGGCCTGGACTACAGAGTGAGTTCAAGGCTGACCTAAATTACATAGTGAGACCCTGTCTCAGAAAAACCACATAAAACAACAGAAAACAAAACAAAAAACTACAAACAGCCAACCATGGTGGTGTATGCCTGTAATTCCAGCACTCAAGAAGCTGAGGCAGGAGAACTGTCATGAGTTCGAGGCAAGGTTGGGGTACATGTTGAGTTCAAGGCCAGCCTGAACTACATAGCGAGAC